AATTACATGTACGTACATAAACCCAAACTTCTTGGTCACACTCCTGGGGGCAGTATCTGACATTGAAATGTCAAACAAGCTTTGTTTATGTTACAGAGTGGGAGACAATAATAGACTTATTGAATCTCTGTTTAAAGCATGTGACTGCAACTGATAGTGTAAAATACAAGACTGGATCTAAATTTGATTTCTTTCAATACAGAGCAGTAACTTAACATACAGTATGTCATGCTTAAATGCATGTATTACAGTTGTAGCCACTCCTGTTTAATAAATATGACTACAAAACATTTGAAGCTTACAAAAACTTCACTTTAGCGAGCTGAAGTTTAAAGACATAAGACGTTTTGAATGCAGACTCCTACATGGTTCTAGTAAAAACGTTGTTGTTTATGTACTCATGACTTCAATAAACTTCTCATATTTTTATGCAATGTGTTGAATTGACAACTTGTATTAAAATCCTTCATGGCAAACAGTGTCTCTAAGCAGACTAAACACAGAGGCTTGCCTTGAAATTCTGTCTGTAGATAATCTATCTCTCATTTTACCTGAAAAATTAGATTTTATAAGTCTTGTTTTATTTCGTCTTTCCTTAGCCATGCCTCTTCCTCGCTGGTAGAGAAGACATGCATGAGGTGGCGTCTGCATTGGAGGTCCCATCTAGTGGCAAATTTTATCATTACAACCATTGTCATTGTCAGCTGAACGGAAGTCACCCGCCTGTATTTGGCCTGTGGGCCACCAGTTACACACCCCTGGTGTAGATCATTGCAAAATTAAGTTAATTCCATTTTGAGAGCTTTAAAAGTTGTTTATATTTTTCAGAGATGTTCTAGTTTGTCTTTTTATTTGTAATTTGCAGGAGTGCTCCTCGCAAAACCAGGAGTGGTTCATCTTGCTGTGAGGAAAGACTTAGTCCAATGAGATAGGAAAAGACATGATTTTAATCTCTATAACAGATTTTTATTTTCAGTTGAATTGGATTTTTAATGTGTCAGGTAAAACTGGCTGTTTCTGTGGAGGACGTTGTTTTAAAAGGATTCAAAAAGAAGTCAACAGAGGAAACTTCTACAACAACAACAAAAAAACTTGTTCTGTTATGACGGAAATTATTGTCTCAATAACAACCAATGCTTTTCATTCTGCTCCTGAAACTCTAATTTTTTTTTTATTATTTGGAGAAAAGTTTTCATCTTGAGAGAAACCACCGAATAAACATAAAACATGTCAGTGTCTTATTTGTTACCTCCGCCAAGGGCGAGGTAATGATTTTGGTTGCGTATTTCTCTGTTTGTCTGTGTCGGTCTGCCTGTCGTTCTGTCTGTGGACATTACTCAAAAACTTGTGGACAGATTGTCATGACATTTTTAMCACATGTGGGTACTGGGCCAAGGAACACACCTTTAAATTTTGGTGATGTTCCAGATCACAATGCAGGTACAGGAATTTTGTTTCTTTTAACACTCTGAGATAAGCAAAGCTGTGATGCTTTCACAGGGCTTCAGTGAAAAACATTGAGCTGGATTGGACAGCATAGACTTCAAACTTTATAAAAGTAATGTTAAAACCACATTTAATGATGAATAATTTTTGCCATAATGTGCGCATTTACAGAATGTTTTGTGACCAGGAAGTGTGTGACTGCACCATGAAACCTATTTTCCCCATTTCCTCAAACACACCACATTTCCGAAACTACCAATCAAAACAGTTTCTCTCTATTAGGCTTGTAAACAGAGAGCTGCTGGGCCTCAAAGTTTGGAGACGGGGGGAACCAGGAAGCACTTTATAAAGAGAGTCAAACCATTACAAACTCATACAAGGGGATAAAACAGACGTTTTACATGGTGAAATTTGACTGATGAAAACTTAGGAGCTTAATCCGACACCAGTTTGACGATGAATAACGTCGGGTGACGAGTCTGACTTTTTTTTCATATTGGACTCCACTGGGAAGAAATTCCGTGCATACTGCCTGCTTAAATGTTCACTACGTCAGGACTTATTCGGCAAATGTGTTTCCATCTCTGCTTTTGTGCATTAACTCTTACAGGATGGGGGGAAATGGTCTTGGCTGAGGTTTGCACTCTCCAAGTGTTTCTAGTTATATACGTCAACCAAACACTGCTTTATTTCTAATTGATCTGTGTGCTGAAATATTGTTAAAATGGTGAATAAGTTTCTTGCAGTATGTAGAACAACAGTAAACAATTTTATTAATTTAATTTATTGTGTTCAAAGTACCTCATAACATCCACTTGTTCTTTCATTGCAACGTAACTACAGGAAACACATTGTTGAAACTTTATATGAAAATTAAGGCTATTTCTGTATTTCATTTGAGTGAAAGTCTTTCTTTCTTTTTCTTCTCATTTTAAGGTTATGTTTTATTCAAGTCACAAAGGAAGATGAAGGCTGGATTTCTGTGTATTTCCAGTACAGTCAGGTGGTTTTATTTCAAAATAAATAAAAAAAATAAACCATTTCACAAACAGAAATGCACTTAAAATTAGATCATTAATTTTGCTAATAAGTCATCCTGCTACATCCTGAACTGTTTGGTTAAACCAGAAGGAGAAAGAAACAAATCACAAACCACAGACCATGGTGATTGATTGTTAAAAGTCAGGTTATAGGAAATGTGGAGCCAGAACCATTTACAAGACCAGCTAGCTTAATGGCCTTTTCAGCTTTTTGGTTTCCACTGTGGGGCCGGATATGAAAATGATTGCTGCATTGCTCTTTCTTACGCAAGACAAAAAAAACCAAACAAACACAAAAACAAAAACAAAAAACCCACTATAATAGTTTCGTTTTTTGTTGTTGTTGTTTTTGTCTGTTACTGGATTAATATAAATAGGAGCATTTAAAAAATCTTAACCAATCAGAAGCAACATTTTCTCAGGGATAGAGGAGCTTCTACCCCTCAGTATCCAGGCACTGTTTTGTAACCTAAAAATAGTTTCAACAAAGCAGAACAAGTCCAATCTACTTTACCATCTTATTTTTCTTCACAAATTGTAAATTTTGAATTTAGATTAATCTAAGGATGAAATAAGTTCTAGCATCAATCATAATCATTATGTATGTTGCTAGCCTGGTCTTTGCAGTTCCACTCAATTCCAGTTTCCTTTTTCTGCTCTGTCTGGAATTTCTCCCATAGACAAGGATTTCTTTGATGATCACTGCTCTGGGTTTGATGTCTTCATTGTCACCTGGTGGTTGATCCGGGTTGGGTTTCTTATCTGCTTTGAAGAAAGCCCAGTTAGCAGTGGTGGGCACCAGTCCACTAAAGCGCAAATCTGCTAATTGCAGACCTAATATTTCATTTGCACTTTAGCGGTCTTACTAATTTTTATAATTCATAAGCAGATTTGCACTTTCTAAAATTAAAATGCAGTACCACTAATAACTAACTATCTACCAGTCWTCACTATCTTGAACATCAGAAAGTATGGATTATCATCATTTAAAACAGGGGCAGAACATCATCTGACATTACAGTAAAGAAATTCCCTAAAGAGTTTATTTTCTTGAACAGCAGAGAGGACTTACTGTCAGTGACCAACACCATGACAAAACACAGTATTGATCCACAATGTGCCAAATAAAGAAGCTAAAATGGCTGAAAATTTCAACCATGCCAATCAGTGAGCAGGAGGCAGAGTTGTGATTTTCTGTGCTGTTTTAATCTGCTTGTAGTTTAGCAATGGCAGTGGAGGAAGTGAATGAAGAAAGTCCATGTTGACAAGGCTTCCAAATAAAATTTGTCTCACAAAGCCTGCAGCTCTCATTTACAGCCATCTCCTTCAGCTCGGTACTTCTCTCTTCCCAGTAGGGGCTGGTTGTTTACAGTACACGCAATTTCAGGTTAGCTTCTTAGCTTAGCCTCCTTCACGGCCAAGCGCTAGTGACTGAGTAAATCAAATCCAGTTGTTTTAAACTTCAACAGAGTCCACATCTCAAGGAAGAAATTGCTTCCCAATAGCCGAGGGACTAGACCCTCTGTACGAAGCAAAGAGTAAAACAAGGGGCTAATTTTTACTAGTTTTACCAATTTTTACGTTGTGGGATTTTCAGAGAAACTGAGACATTTAATCTCTAAACATGACGTCCCAGTTTCTTTCAAACCTTAAAACACATCATGACAAAGACTGGTTCACCCCAAATATCGGGTCCCCTGGCACAAACAGTAATGTTGTGTATGCTGTTAAGTGTCAGGAGGACTGTGACCAGTTATACATGGGTGAAACCAGCCACTGTTCAAAAGAATGAGTCAGCACAAATGGGCAACATCATCAGGCCAGGACTCTGCAGTTTACACTCATCTACAGGTCAGGACTCTGCAGTTTACACTCATCTACAGGCCAGAACTCTGCAGTTTACACTCATCTACAGGCCAGCGGTCACTCTTTCAGAGATGAAGATGTTCTCATCCTTGATAGAGAGGAATGTTGGTTTGAGAGAGGAGTAAAGGAAGCCATTTTTGTAAAGAAAAAACATCTGACACTAAATGGGGTGGAGGTTTCCATATCCAGTTATCCCCATAGGTGATGATCAGGGCACTAATCATCACAGTTGTTAGGTTTTAGGTCCACTTTTGCATGTGAGCGATTAGTTTTGATTGTCATTGCTAAACCTGTTTGTCCACCATGTGGAGGCACTTCTTATAAGGCTGAGTTCACCTGAAACTCTTGAAGGAGAGATGAAACGTTTCGTTAAAGAAGAACCCGTCCAGAGGACCTACACTCATTTTTTGTTTTGATTTTTCTGCCTGCATTGCTGAGATGCACCAGGACATTATTAGATACTGTAGCTTGAACCTGGAAAGGCCTAGCTCAGGATGACAAAGGTTCATTGTCCCTTAGCCTTATGGGATTTTGAAGAGGATAAAGAAATGGATTTTCTTCTAGCATTAGAATCAGTTGTTCAGGAAAACCGGTCAGTCGCTCTGATTATCGTTAGTGACGTAATTATTTGTCCTTTTTCTCCCACAGAGACGTGTTTTCAAACATTTTCCAAACTCTGTGAAGCCAACCTCTCAACCCATCGTGCAGGACAGGGTCCTCCAGCAGAGCTGCAGGGATGTACCAGGAAGTAGCCTTCCTGGCAGGAAACACCGACCACCAGTTCACCCCCTTTCGCTTCAACCGAGTAGAGAATCCACAGGAGGTCACGTCTAAGAAGGGTTTGTTCTACAAGCGAGCGCGGGTCCTGCTCCAGCCTCTGCCCCACCAGCCAGATGGAGACGAGACCGGCCTGGCCGACAGGGCGGCCATCATCAACGTGGGGGGGATCAAGTATCACATCCCCTGGTCCACGCTGGATGAGTTCCCCCTGACTCGGCTGGGTAAGCTGCGCAGCTGCAGCAATGAAGCTGAGATCATGGACGTGTGTGATGACTACGACGGCAGCCGCAACGAGTATTTCTTCGATCGAAGCCCGTCTGCATTTCGTATCATCGTGACTTTCTTGGCCGCGGGGAAGCTGAGGCTTCTGAGGGAGATGTGTGCCTTGTCCTTCCAGGAGGAGCTTCTGTACTGGGGTCTGGAGGAGAACAACCTGGAGTGGTGCTGCCTCAGGAAGCTGCGCCTCCGACAGGAGGAGTACAAGGAGCAGCAGAGGCTGGAGGAGGAGGAGGCGGAGCTCACTGCGCCGCCATCCTGCGAGGAGAGCCAACCGCCCCCGGCAGCACCTGAAGAGACCATCAGAGGAGGCTGCATGCGCCGGCTGAGGGACATGGTGGAGAACCCACACTCGGGCCTACCAGGAAAAATCTTCGCCTGTCTCTCAGTGTTGTTTGTTGCCATCACTGCTGTGACGCTGTGTGTCAGCACCATGCCTGACCTCCGAGAGGAGGAGGAGCGGGTGAGTTCACTTTCATACTTTTTTTGTTTTTCTTCACAGGACGAAGTTTAGTGTTTAAAACACAATTTATTTAGTCTCCTAAATAAAACTTTATTCATTATCATACCTTAGGTGATAAAACCTGCTGCATTAGGCTCCAACATCAGGTGAAAACAGCTAAGAGGAAAATAATCCAATACAAACACTCCTGATCAAAATCTTAAGACCAGTCAAAAAAGTGCAAAAATTTGCATTTTGCACTGTTGGACCTTAAGAAGGTTCTAAGTAGAGCTTCACAATGTTAAAAGAAGAAATCAGTGCAAGAGACAAGAACTTTTGAGCAGGGAATTTTCTGAAAACTGCATTTACACTCAAACATGATTTTTTCAGCTGATCAAAAGTTTAAGACCATAGTCTTTAAAAGCCAAAAGCTGTGCAAAAATCTGGATTCCATGTCGTTTTCTGTCAAGTCTTTACACTGTCAAGACCTCCTGATGGCAAAAGTAAAAAAGCTCACTGACTTTGAACGTGGTAGGATTGTTGAGCTGCATAAGCAAGGCCTCTCACAACGTGCCATCGCTGCTGAAGTTGGACGCAGTAAGACAGTCATTTTGCATTTTTTAAATGATCCTGAGGGTTATGGAACAAAAAAGTCAAGTGGTAGACCCAAAAAAATTTCACCAGCTCTGAGCCGCAGGATCCGATTGGCTGTCCGTCAAGACACGGGACGATCCTCTACCCAAATTAAGGCCATTACTGGTGCTGACTGCAGCCCAATAACCATCAGACCATCTGTGAGAGAAGGGCTTCAGAAACAAAAAACGCCTTCAAAGGCCACGTCTTCTTCAATGCCACAAAATTGCCCGTTTGGACTTTGCAAGGGTGCACCAAACATGGGACATTGAAAGGTGGAAGAAAGTTGTCTTCTCTGATGAGAAAAAATTTAAGAAAGAAGCACAAGTGTTAAAAGATACCCCTTTTCTATGGATATGGTGGAAATATCCCACTTAAACACTGACCCCGCGCGGGTCCGTGTCTGAACATGACATACACCCCCCCCACCGTGTTTTATTGTACGCGGTTGGTACCACTGGCTGCCTGAGTTGCCCCCACCCCCGGGATAAATGGATCCAGATCTTAAGGATCCTTTTGTTTCACAAATCTGTTCAAAAGAGCTGTTTGATTTTGAACAAAAAATATGTCATGATGTACATCATAATGTCAGCCCTACATGATGACGTCATCAGGTTACGTGGGTGGAGCCATGTGTTTTGTCAAGCGGAATCTCCAACTTTTACACTGTTGAGGTACTGATACACCACTGTACTTTTGTAAGTGCACATTATAGACCCATTGACACCAAGTTACCACACAATATTTAGGCCATGTTTTCATATCATCCTCCCTCTGGAGAATAGTTTGAGGGTCTGTGCCACTTCGATTGTTCAACAACTTTTGGAAATGTTCCCACAATGTAATATTAGTTAGCCCAGGGAAGCAGTGAAATGGAAGTGCCCCCCCCCACCAAAAAATAAAATAAAATAAAAAAACCAAAAGTTGGACCCATATTTACTTCTGCATTTGAAAATAAGGAGGACAGAAGAAAATCATTTTAGCTGTGTGCAATCTATACTTCATCAATATAAGTGAGGTTTGGAAGATAGACGAACCTGTAAGTCTTACCTTTCAGCTTAACTTCCTGCAAAAATGTCCTACAAGCTTATATCCAACCAAAAAATATTTTTGATCTTGTTTTGAGATCAATCAATGGCTGTAATGTAAAACAGTTTGTGGTCAGATGGGGCTTGATAAAGCGATATATAAGTTCAGTCCATTTACCTTTATTAATCTTGTCAGCCTGGAATTTTTTTCTAATTTCAAGTATCCTGGCAAGTTTAATTATCATGTCACACTGGCAGATAATTCCAGTTAATTAGAAAAGATCCAGAATATAATGTAGCATTTTACTAACTTATTTTTAGATGCCTAACTTCTTCACAGCATACCCTAATCCATCAATTCATCTCCTGCTCCGACTTCCAAATCCTCCTCTGCTCTGGTTTCTGTTGTTTTTTTAATATCTATCTTAATGGTTGTAGTTGGAGAGCTTTTAGAGATGATACTCAAGATGAAAAATGTAAGAACCAATCATCTAGGAGATCTAATTAGTACTGGTTCTCAGAAATGGGCTCTGTTGTCTCTTACCATGGAATTCTAAATGCGAAAAAACAATTTTAATGAGGACAGCCTTATGACTTTTACACAACACACATCCAGTAGGAGCGGAACAGAAGCCATTGTCGGGATTCTTTCCTTTTTTTCAGCACAGCTTCAGGGTTGTGTGTGCCGTATAGCACCTACAATGGAATTCAGATTATGTTGATGCAGCAGCCCACATGCGAGGACTTCCTGGGCTTTATAGTAAATCACTGTGACACACACAGAGGCGAAGGCTCGGGGACAGCAAGGCTTCTTCTCCTTTCACTGCGATGCCACTTAATTGCGTGGCACTTACTCCTCTTCCTGTAGTTTGTAGCAACATGATGTTCAAGGTTTTTTTCTCTGTATATGCACTAAATGACAGTAAACACATCAGCAAGATTATGTATTCACACAGCTTTAAATGACTAAATGGGTTTAGGCTTCGACACAACATCCCACCATTTTTTTTCTTTTTCTCTCGTACAGCAGAATTTACTTGACCTGCTTCCAAAAAACGAATATGAAAAACACTCAAATGAATAAAAAGAAAAGCTCATTATTGTTATATAACTGCATGATTATGCAAAAAGTCTTTTATAGTAAAGCTTGTTTACCCAAACCTTTCCAAGAGCAGATGTTCGGTAAACACAACTCAAAATGGAAAAAACTTCTGCCGAGAAATGTTGTCATGTTGGTTCTCACCTTTAATTTAACCTGCTGTGCCTGATTGCCTAACTTAGGTAATATCTGAAATAAATAATATTAAAAGAAATCCTCTACCAAATGCAGAGAAACCTCTGCAAGCAATTTTAATTTGTTCAAACAGCCAACTTGTACCAAGAAAATGTATCCGTGGAATGAATTAACTCCAATGAAACAAAGGAAATTAAAATAATTTGTTTCAGCCCCTCTAAAGTGAGCGCAACTCAACAATCATTTTCAGACTATTAGAGGCTTATTCCCACATAACAGAACTGCTAAAAGCATTTTATGGTTAATGACACAATAAATAATAAAAGGCAATGAACTCAGTTTCTGTAAAACATCCACCTGTTTAAAGGGGCGGAGCCAACATGTGAGGCTGGTGGGAAAATAAAAGGTTAAGAATTGCCACTAATACGTTTTCTTTTTTTTTTTTTACTAATGTTAATATTAAATGATAAATGTAAATATTAAATCCTAAATCTAAAAAAATGTAAATCTAAATGTAAAAGTAAAACAGCAACTTTAAACCAAGCTGCAGCTGTAGGAACCCTCAGCACTTGGTGCTTTTCACACATCAGTCTGCAAGATTTGAATTGTATCCAGATTTTCATCTAATTTCAGATGGATGTTTGTACAAACAGGGAAAAGCTGATGATTCATAATCATTTGCATTTGTTGCTTTAAGTAGTCAGATTTTCATTTTAATTGTCCTGTTGTGGTGAATTTTGCATGTGAAGACATGGGTGTCACAGAGGAGAAAATTACTCACAGTATTTTTTTTAAAAGAACTTGTAAATAAACAAGACGGGAAAATATGAGAATATGAGAGATGAATACAACTCAAAAATGGTTTAAGGACATTTTAAAAACGTGTAGCTGACTTCAAACATTTATCAGACAGTCAATAACTTTATTTTTTCTAATAAAGTTGATTGATTGAGCCAACAAAGTAAAAAAAAGATTGATCCAACAGTAATCTGAAGTGCACTTTTCTAATAATCTAACAGACAAAATGCTGATATTTTGATGTACAAACTACAGATTCAATGTAAACAGAATCAAAATCAGAAGAAACGTTAAAGCTGTTGCCAAGGCTTATTAGGACACCTGTGGTGGGACCTCAAAAGACCCCCTGCTTGGTGTTTCACAACTCACAGTGAAGTCCATGGAAGCCATGGATACAGGGAGATTTGACAAGTTAAAACAACCTTTATTTAAAGTTTTGAGGAACAAATTTGGTGCTCAAATACAATAGAAGTTAATCAGAGTTTATATATAAAGGTATGTGACTGAGCTGTAATGTAGGGTGGCAGACAGGTGCAAATGTGCTGCAGCTGGACCAGATCCTCAGTGAAGACATTAAAGGGATGCAGAAGTTGAGAAGAAAAAAAAAACGTTTTCCTTCCTTAATGTTTTCACAGCGGGTCTGGTTAGAGAAGGTACAGCAGAGACTATGGTTTTGCAGGATGAGCTTGTTTAAAGTTGCAGTAGGTAGCTTTTATAAAATTATTTATCTTTTTACATATGAGACGGATAATCAGTGGAAAAAATAAAACTTGTCTGGCTCCTCCCAGTGGTCCTACAGCCATTCGCAGAAATAAACAGCGCCCAGTTAGAAAAAGCCAATCAGAGGCCAGGAGGATTGTCTTACCAGTGTGAGTCCCACTCCATCGCTCAGTGCAGGCCAGTGGCGCTGGAATGGGGGCAATGGCCCCACCACCCTTTATGGCCCTGCCCATCAGTCATTTACAGGCTGCACCCAGTGCTGACAAGTTATGACAGATGTCTCTCTGTCTAGATACAGACAGAGGCACAGACAAAACCGACGGCATTAAGATCAAGACTAAATCTGTTTATAAGTCACCAGATCCACATGGCTCGGTTTTGTTGCGCAGCGCTCAGCTGATGCACACGCTGGCAAGCTGGAGGCTGGAGTTTATCTACTTGACGTTTATGTTGGTGAAGTATTCTCCAAAAGGCAGTACAGTTCATAACTTGTACAATGATGTGAAAATGAGAACAAGCTCTTGTTAAAGTATTTAAATGGGGAGCAATGTGCACAACCCATGTGAAGAACAGTCAGAGGGTTTACGCAAATTCTCCAGCTCTGCAGG